TGGCCTTCCAAAAATTGACACGACTAGAAATCAGTGGTTAAGTTGTATTTACAACACTGTTCCGGAACAGTTCAACCCAAATATTCAGATGTGTGCAGCGCATTTTACGGAGGACTGTTTCCTGAAACTGGGAGAGTAGCCTACAATGCCGTCTGTGCACAAAGGCTGTTTCTATAAAGTGGGGCAGTTCCAACTTTGCAAGGACAGTCTGGCGCTTCTGACTCACAGCCTGTAAGTACGTTTTCATATTAAAAGAATTTGCCAGAATTTGTTTTGAGCAGTGTAAAAAGAGTTTGTTTTGAGCAGTGTAGAGTAGTGCTTGTTGTTTGTCATTTCTCTGATCACAACATGGTTTTATGTTTAGGCGGCGCGATATGCAACGCAACGCGTAAAAAGACAGTATAAGTCATTATCAGTAATTATGTCCCCACTGGATGCAACAAATGCCTCGTTTGTAATGGGTTTTATTGTTTTTTTTTGTCGTCGCGCCGGGACACGGCATCACAGTATGGAAAGGCGTGTAACATTTCCATCACACGCTTGAGACATTCGGCCAATCACAATGCACTGGATAGCTGGCCAATCAGCGTACACCTCGCTTTTCAGACCGATGAGCTTTGTAAAAATCTACGCGTTTCAGAAAGGCGGGGCATAGAGGAGCAACTATAATGTACAGTATGTGGAAAATAATGTGTTTTTTGAACCTTAAACCGCATAAACACATTTCATTACACCAAATACACAAAATAATGTTCTTTTTAGCAACGTCATATGACCCCTTTAAAATTGAAAATTCAATACTGCCCCTAAACACTGGTGACATTGTTGTGGCTTCTCCATTTTGTGTGCACGAAATAGACTTGCTAATTAAAAGTGTTCGGTCAATGATTTTGACCCTCGAAAACCATTTTGGCTGCTGCACATGGAAGAGTTGAGTTTTCAGGCGTTTCTTGAACATTTTCAGGAATTGATCTGGCTGGATAGGCTTAGGAAGATCTTTCCAGCAGCAAGGAACAGTGAACAAGAACAATAACAAAAGTTATTTTATGCTCTCTGTAGGGATGTAACGATTTACTCAACTCACGATTCGATTCGATTCACGATTTTGATCTCACGGTCCAAACAAAGATGCTGAATACATGCAGCATGAGCAGTTTTTTAAAAATCTAAATTAGATTGTATAATTTAAAATTTTAAAACAAAAACCGAATGCTCTGATTTTAGTTTTGTGAAACTATACTACATAAAACATCTGCACGAAACAAAGACAGCAGACGGGCTGAATGAGATGCAATTTCACTCTCTGACAGCAGGTGGCGCTTATGGAACAGCAGGGATACAGCGATTCCTTGGTTTCCTTGGCTGTAAACAAAGCAGCGCAGCGCTTATGAACGCTGCTTTAAAATGCATTATACAGAGACGAGATGAAAAGAGAACTTTTCTAAAGACAGTCAGTTCCCCTCAGAGATACATTCATATAAACACCCACCTCCAAATGTTTAACATCTCTACCGATTTGAATTGGCAAATATTTGTATCGATTTTCAACCGGCTCATGGTGAATCGTTACATCCCTAATTCTTGATACACTGCACTATATATATAAAAAAAAAAAGAATATTTAATAATATTGTTATTTTGGTTGAAAACTGCAGGGAGACCTGCTTCTGTTGCATGTGACAACAGGATTACAAAGGCTTCACATTACAAAATTAGTGAAATGCTGTAATGAAGCGGAATGCTTGGTGTATTTTTATTCTGTATATGATGTGTAAAGATTTATTTCTGTAACTATATCTGTGGACTGTTTGCAGGACCATCTATGAGAAACTGGCAAGTGCTTTTACTGAGGAGCAAGCAGTGCTTTATCATCAGAGAGTGGAAGAGATTTCACCTAACATCCGATACTGTGCATATAACATTGGTGAGAAACTGACACCGTTTAAAGTCTAAGGTGGGCTATACATGCATGATTGGGAGAAAGCATAACACTCAATATTGCAGCTGTTCTGTCACCTTACAGTTAAAAGAGACAATCGTCATTTTCACAGAGAGACAACACAATGCTCAAAAAGTCAGCTGTAGGGATGGGAGTCCACCTTACAGTTAAAAGAACCAGTCTCCTGTTTGTTTACTTCCAGTACATGCATGTGGACATGCTGGTCAAGTTGTTGAATGTTATTGATACATATTCAAAATGCGTTCCTTTATTTAAAACAGTAGAGTATACCACTAGCGAAGTCGATGAGATCTATAGATCATAGGATCTGTTTCCAACGAAGAACTAAATTCTGTGTTGTGTATTTAACTTTTTCCAGTTCTCAATTCCAGTCCTGGGGACTCCCCCACTCTGCACATTTTGTATGTCTCCCGGGTATACACTGCACGATTTTTATCCGATTTCGAGCTGAATTCTGACTCGTGCGACTTTTGAGTCAGGCTGAATTTCAGCTTTATTGTGTCTTTTGACGTGCAGTGTACAGGGGGTAATGAGAGGCGATTAGCCTCTCCCGAGCAGCAATCGGACAGTCGGATGAATTTCTGAAAATTTGGTCGCCTCTCGTGAGGGTATCGCACAGTTGAAGCAGAACTACTGCTCTAAACTCGTTGCTTTTCCCTCGCTGCGCCTGCGTGAAAACAGAAATTAAACCATGGCGATGTAGCGTGTGATACGGATGGAATTGATGGAGACTACACATTTCGAGGTTTTTTACCTTCATGTACGCATACCGAAACAAATACACACACTGACTACTTTGTACAAACCACAGCCATCTTGCTCATATGCTCTATCTGTGTTTCTCTAGGTGACCAGAATGCTATAAACGACCTCATGCAGATGAGACTGAGTGCAGGAGGAGGGGGTGGCATGATGGCTGAAAAATTGGAGGTCAGGGGTTGTCTTTGCAGCTCTGTTCCTGTTTATTGATCTAATATACGAAGTAAACTGCGTTTTCTGGGAGAAAATGCCATGCCAAACCATGTGTCTTATTAAAGGATTTTTTTTTCTCAGAAAATCACAATTAGATTGATTTTTATCATGCATTTTATAAAATTAGTAAGTTGCATTAGCATGTTCACAATCTTTACAGTTGTGTTATCTCTTTCTGTCTCTCAGGCGCTGATTACTCAGACGAGAGCTAAGCAGGCAGCTGTGATGAGTGAGGTTGAGTGGAGAGGCCGTACAGTGCCTGTCAGAATTGACAAGGCCAGAATCTTCCTGCTGGGTCTGGCAGACAATGAAGCTGCTATTATACAGGTCTATAAACTCACTCATTCCCAATTCTTTTTGTGTGTGGTACTCACAATGATAAAAGTGACTTTTGCCCTTCCTGTCGTTAAAAACGAGTTGTAATCAACTAAGATGTATCGGCTGACATCAGTTCAGTCTTTTATTAGTTAATACACTATAAAACCTAAACCTAAAAGAAATAAGTGGCAGGCAGCAGGATCCAAGCAGATGGGTAAGGGTCCATAATAGGGCCTTTCGCACCGCGGGAACCTTTTCATAGTACCAGAACTAATTGTGGAACTACCCACTTTTTGACGTTTTCGCACCGCCGGAACTGGGTGCGATTTTAGTACCGGACTGCCTTTTTCGAGAACCAAATTAGCTCCTACTCCGGAGCAGGGTCTAACCAGCACAACTGGTACTAATCGTGACATAAGTAGACATTGATTGGCCAAACGCGTACGAAAAC